GTGTGGGAGAGGTTTATAAGAATATGGGAGAGGTTTATAAGTGTGTGGGAGAGGTTTATAGCAGTGTGGGAGAGGTTTATAAGAATATGGGAGAGGTTTATAAGTGTGTGGGAGAGGTTTATAGCAGTGTGGGAGAGGTTTATAAGAATATGGGAGAGGTTTATAAGTGTGTGGGAGAGGTTTATAAGAATATGGGAGAGGTTTATAAGTGTGTGGGAGAGGTTTATAAGAATATGGGAGAGGTTTATAAGTGTGTGGGAGAGGTTTATAGCAGTGTGGGAGAGGTTTATAAGAATATGGGAGAGGTTTATAAGTGTGTGGGAGAGGTTTATAGCAGTGTGGGAGAGGTTTATAGCAGTGTGGGAGAGGTTTATAAGTGTGTGGGAGAGGTTTATAGCAGTGTGGGAGAGGTTTATAAGAATGTGTTGAGGGTTTATAAAGCCTTTAAAAATATATAAATAATGAATTTATGAATTTTCGCCTATCACGGGGGCGTGGGGGTTGGGGGGGGGTCGTCTGGATCCTAACCTCACGTGACAGTCGATGGATCACTGTATCTATCCAGAGATGAAACTCAGCTGTGGCCAAGAGCAAACCACCAGGAGTTCAAAAGGGAAAGAATTAAGCAGATGTCGGGTGAAGGGTGCGGAGGAATAGCTGGCCCTGGCCGCCACTGTGTCTAAGTTTGGCTCTGATAGATGCAGTAACCAGCGCCAGTAGATCATGTTATGGCCACCCTGAGTAAGCCAAGATTTGTTTACAACCCTCCTCCCCATTTCCCCGCCAAAAACTCTGTAGTTGGCCGAAAATACCGCCCTCCGTAAAAGAAAAAAAAAAGTGGCCCCCCGGGGTGGACCGCCAATCCACCGTCGTCTTACGTCTCTGGCACTTCCCACCCGGAAGATGTAAAATGCCCTACAGTTAAAACCGTTCACCTGCAAAATGGGATTTGAAGAAGACCAGCTGGTGAAACGAGAAGGGACCACCTTCTGAATCAGAAAATAAGACAAATGGTTAGTGCCATCCTTATTAGCCAGTATATGGTCCAACAGCATGTTCCCTGGTGTGGAAAAATGGCGAGAATGGGTGTCAACCATCGTGCATTAGAAGCAGATAAGCCTACAGAAGCAGGTAAGTCTACAGAAGCAGGTAAGTCTACAGAAGCAGGTAAATCTACAGAAGTAGGCAAGTCTACATAAGCAGGTAAGCCTACAGAAGCAGGTAAGTCTACAGAAGCAGATAAGCCCACAGAAGCAGATAAGCCTACAGAAGCAGGTAAGTCTACAGAAGCAGGTAAGTCTACAGAAGCAGGTAAGCCTACATAAGCAGGTAAGCCTACATAATCAGGTAAGTCTACAGAAGCAGGTAAGCCTACAGAAGCAGGTAAGCCTACAGAAGCAGGTAAGTCTACAGAAGCAGATACGCCTACAGAAGCAGGTAAGTCTACAGAAGCAGGTAAGCCTACTTCAGGTTCTGAGCCAGACAATGACCACGCCGGCGAGGTATCGTCTGAGTTTGAAATCCACAGCGTGAATGTTCAACGTCCACAGGCCTGACACCATGACACGTGCACAGTAGAAGCCAACAGAAGACGGATTTTCTAGTGGACCATTTTATCTTTTTTTTTTTCGCTCTGAGTTATATTGCTAAACACTATTAATCTTGATTTTCGAGAATAAAACTTTGTTTCATAAAACTTACTTACGAACCAATAATGATCATTTACAAAATTGCAACTCTGTGCTACCGCTGCTTGCACGACCTGGCACCGTCCTATCTCAAAGAGCTGCTGACGCCTTATGTACCCACTAGACAACTCCGATCATCCGATAGTGGCAAACTCTCGATACCACGTGTTCGCCTTGAGACTTACGAGGGGCGTACTTTCGCATTTGCTGGCCCAACAATTTGGAACGACCTTCCTGTCGCTCTCAGAAACAGCCAGTCACTGGAGTCTTTCAAAACTGATCTGAAGACATATCTATTTCGCAAACACCTGCTGGGATGATGTTGTTTATCTAGCTATTATCTTGTAGATGTTTCTTTCCTTGTGTTGTTTATGGTTGTTAGGTATGAAAGACTTAGAATGGGTATTCTCGTATATAGTTTTTTGCAATGTTGCATTTTGTATTTCAATGTGGTAAGGTCATAGATTGTTTCATTTCTCTTTTAATATACTAGACTATGTACCGCGCTTTGGGGATGAAGCGTGATTTTCAAATAAACTTTATTATTATTATGTATAAAGTTGATGTATAATGTTCGTGTAAAATGTTCATGTTCGCAAAGTTTTGATTACTTGAAGGCGCTGAATTGAATAAAACAACACATTTCCCTTTTATTAAGTTTGTTGATGACGTCACCATCGGTGGGCTTAATATCAGAAGAGAAAAGCTATTACCGGAACGTAGTTACAAGCTTTGTCGGTTGTTGCGATGAAAATTTTCTTCAGTCTACACTTGACTGTCTCGAAAAACGAAATTGTTTTCGATATCCGGAGGGGGGTCACCCCATAGCAAATCTCACAATAAATAATCACAGTATAGAGCAAGACATATTATAGGTCCCTGGTGTCACCATTAATAATAAGCTGACATCGGTGACATGGCATGAACACGGCCAAAATCTGTATAAAAGGGCAACCAAAGACTTTTCTAGTCTAATTCTTATAGTTTAAAACTACTTCTAATTATCATATTTCATACACTCGGTAGCTACTATTATTTTTTAATATAAATTTTACCGGTAATATAGAATCGGGATCGACCATTTAATAATAATTATATCGCATTTTAAAAAATAGTCTTAACGTTTCAAAAACTTTTACTTATAATTATAAGCAAGCAAAATGTAGCTTCTCGTTTTCATGAATTATTGATTTGCAAATTTCTTTGTGTGGACAAAAAGTCAGACGACCAGAAAATCACCTTATCTTATCCTAATACAAAAAGTCAGACGACCAGAAAATCACCTTATCTTATCCTAATACTTATTAAAAATAAAATTATATTATAGCTATAGACTTTTTTTATCATAATCATCTAATCATATTTTTTTTATTAAGTCTAAGTCTAAGTTAAGTTAGTCGGTAAAAATCCAGGTATTATTTTTGAGGAAAAATTAAAATCATATTTAAGTATGTAACTAGTGTAACCTACAGTTAGTTGACCTAAACGTTTTTAAAATCGCGTAACGAGCTCAGCTGTTGCTATGGACGACTAATATATGTTTACAGCGCTTGGTAATGCATTGTGGTCTGTCGAAAGGCAGCTTTAATTTTATCCAATCAGAAGTCACGAAAGACGATTTGTTGGGAACCAAAAGGCATGAAAAGCTTGGACTGCTGCTAAGGGTTAGGATTATTAGAAAATACTGTGGGAAAGAAGGCTCATCAACCTGTCTCCTTTTAAAACTCCATTTTGTTTAACTTGTTGAAGATTAACACACATACATGTAAGTATAGCTAAATGTATGATGATGTTGATAGTGAAATAATCTAAATAATTAAAAGGATGTCACTGTTTAGTGTTTCAGCGTCTGAGTCGCCACCTGACGAGTCTCACAGTTGTCATTAGTAACTTAAACTTTATTTAGTTAATTGGTATGCACCGACATTGTTGCTACTAATACTTATTAATACTACTATACTGCACTTACTGTAAGTAGTCCATTATTAAAATCTTAAGCTTTGTCTTCCTTTGAAACATCAAATTGGCATAATACTAGATTATATTGTCACTGTCTGACTGTCTGTAAAACTAAATGACCGACAGTGACACTATCATTATAATATATATATATATATGATACAAGTTTGATATAACTATAACCATGATATCCATGTCCATATGCCTAATTGTTAGTATACTTTTTATGGTTAGGCTATTTACTATTAGTAATAGACTTAATAGTATAGTAATACTTACTAAACTACCCTTATCTATCAGTCAGGCAATGGCTACTTTTATATAGTAGAGCCTCAGCCCCTTAGCCTAGGCAGGTATTCTTTGTAACTGCAGTGGCATATCTTCATATCATATTAATTTATATATTAATTCAGATTATTGTATAGTTACTAGACATTTTAGGTCTACCAGTACAAAAGTTTGTATATTGTATTCCAACTGCATTGTATCATCTCCATGGCCATGAAAACAAAAGTGGAACATGAACCTATGTAAATATCAAGGGAAAAGATCACAAGACAGCTTGTGCTACACTGTCTTTTCAGTTTGCACTTTTCCACACATTATCAACATTGTTTGGACACCAGCGTTATTTAGATTTTAAAAAAATTACTTGATGCTTGTCCTGGTGTGAGTCTTGAATATGGAGATATCTTCTTTAGGTCTCATGTCAGTCAGTGTTTCACAGACCCATTAACTTTCTACCAAACCAGGGCTAAGTCTTGCCCACCTCATGTTTCTAACAATAGAAATCTTACCCATATTCATCTTTACAATTTCAGAAAGCACCATGTCTGAGCGAAAAGCCGTTATCAAGAATGCTGATATGTCAGAGGACATGCAGCAAGATGCTGTGGATTGTGCCACCCAAGCCTTAGAGAAATACAACATTGAAAAAGATATTGCTGCCTTCATCAAGAAAGAGTTCGACAAAAAGTATAACCCTACATGGCACTGCATTGTTGGTCGCAACTTCGGCAGCTACGTTACCCATGAAACAAAACACTTCATCTACTTCTATTTAGGACAGGTTGCAATTTTGCTTTTTAAATCTGGATGAAGTGTTGCAGCTTTCTTATGGACATTGTATTATGGACTATGTTTCTTCCCAAGATCCATTCATCTCAAGACAAACATTTTAAAACAGTAAAGATGAAGTGATGCAAGCATTTCCAGATGTTTGTTTCAATATCAAGGGCTACTTCTATTTCTTTAATCAACCATTTTTTTTGTGAGAACTTTGAAGTTTTCATGATAAAGCTTTAACGATCAAAATTGCTTTCTTAATATTCTTTATAGTTGAAATGTTGACAATGTGTAATGGATGTTTGATGTGGGTTATGCTTTGACAGATGTAAATAATTTTATAGTGTGAATGTTTTCATAAAACTGGTTGTGAAAGATGGAAAGACAGAAATAAATGGTACTGTATAAGTCACTGCTTTTATGTTGCTTTTGTGCGACTAATCTGTATGTGAGGGGGAAAAACATGATTGTTCTCAATTTGCAATTTTATTAGAGACCCATGCCTTCAGTGAAGTGGTAATCCAAAATTTCAACATGTTGGTTACCACAGGACCGGTATATAATTTTTTTGCAGACTGAGTTGAGAGCAATTGAAATTGAATGAATGACTGAGGTAACTGAGTGTTGACTGTCTCGGCTGATATAAGCTATACTCGTTTAAACATTAACTCCTACCCATGATGCACCATGGAAGTTTTTGCCCTGGAACTGGAACCCTGTAATATTACATTCTATTTGCAATGATAGTGACAATGACTGATTCAGTGATCAAGCATGAGTTCAGTTTTTAGTTAAATGATAAAAAACTTTATTTGAGCTATGCTTTCTTTAATATAGCTTAGCTCTCATGGGACACATTACAAGTTTGCCTTAACTTGGTGTTACTCATTACTATATATTAGCAATGAATGCAAAATGTGGCCACCTGGCAACATAACTCCATCATGATAAAATGGCGATACCAAAGCCCCTTCCTGCATACTGGTAGCAAAACATTAAAAATTTTAATTGCTATTAAATTAGTTAGCTCTCATGGTACACATTGCAAGTTCACCTCAACTTGAGTTGACAAATCATTAAATTATTTAAATAGAGGGTTTCAGGCCATCCACTAGATATGGTACAATGAGGGAAGTATACATACAGGCTTACAGGGACTTAAATTGTTACTCATTACTATATCATATATTATCAATCAATTCAAAATGTGGCAACCTGGCAACATAACTCAATCATGATAAAATGGTGATGATACCCAACCCCCTTCCTGCATACTGGTAGTTAAAAATTTAATTGCTATTAAATTAAATAGTTAGCTCTCATGGTACACATAACAAGTTCACCTCAACTTGTGTTAACAAATCATTAAATTATTTAAATAGAGCGTTTCAGGCCATCCACTAGATATGGTACAAAATTGGGAAGTGTACAAGCTTACAATTACAGGTACTTAAATGTTACTCATTACTATATCATATATTATCAATTAATGCAAAATGTGGCCACCTGGCAACATAACTCCATCATGATAAAATGGTGATGATACCCAACCCCCTTCCTGCATACTGGTAGTGGTACCAAAACATTAAAAAATTTAATTGCTATTAAATACCTTGGTGCTTTGCTGACTTTAGTTCAACTCTATGAAAACTAAATTTTACTGTAACTTCACAAAGTGAAAAATAGTAATATCAGGTAAGCTAAGTACATTGGGTATACACTACTATACAGTATTTCACATTATAAATTTACCATTCTGTGGAATAGTGGGGGAACTTCACCTTTTCACTCCACTGCCTGTACTAATACTAATACCGGTACGGTTCTTAGAAGTGGATATCATTCCTTATTGAGAAGACTGCCTTGGGTGTCACAAACTCTAGCAACTACTTTCACATTCTTATGAAGTTCTGAAGGAAATTCCTTTCCGTTCTTTATCACACTTGCTTAAGAATGGCTTCTATTCTAATGGAGAAAAGTAGATCATCCTTTCTAAAACTTTTAATATGAGTGATCTTCAAGGAGTTGTAATCTTGCATAAAAAAATTAAAAACTTGTATTCATAATATATAATTGCAAATGGGTGCACTGAGGGCCACATCATGGGAACCAGCCATTCACAGAATGAGCTAATAATTCATCATCATCATGTCCTTGGACAGTTGGGGCACCACAGATGACATGTGAACTATCCTCCTCCATTCGTCTCTGTCTTCTGCACTACGCACAGCATCGCCCAGTGTTTGTCCATTCTTTAATGTTATCCTCCCATCTTTGTCTTTGATGATGATATGTGCTGGTATGGTACTGTGAATTCTAAAGGTACCGACCAGTACAGTAAGTCACAAGCAGGTAACAGTTGAATCTTGTTCTTTTCTATTTCCATACCCTGGTCACTGGAACTGCACTACTACTACATTCATAAAAGCTTTACATAACCCCTAACTCTAACTCATGCGTTTGGTTGGCATCCTATCTATACCATATGCAAGATTTAATTTGACAACAACCGGCTGCAGCGGTTCCCATGGGAGTACAAAGTGGAGGTGCTAAGTAAGAGTTAAACAGCATAAAGCAATGGTTCTTTTTTTTTTAAAGTCCATAATCATTTAATTAATGAATAAAAATAATAACATGTACCGGTATTTAAATTTAATACTTATAAAAATTATATATTATAATTATAGCATGAGATCACCCACCTATCGTCTCATGTGGTTGGGGGGGGGGCATTGGTTCAAGCCTAATAATATTAGTAATAATCCATGAAGTCTTTCATGTACCGGTACTTGCATAATAACAATTTTTTTTTTAAAGGCCATAATCATTTAATTAATGAATAAAAATAATAACAGGTACCGGTATTTAAATTTAATACTTATAAAAATTATATATTATAATTATAGCATGAGATCACCCACCTATCGTCTCATGTGGTTGGGGGGGGGGGGCATTGGTTCAAGCCTAATAATATTAGTAATAATCCATGAAGTCTTTCATGTACCGGTACTTGCATAATAACAGCTAAGAGCTTGACAGATTGAACACATAGAATTTTTATTCTGATACTGGTATTAATTATGCATGAAAGTAAAAGACTACCTAAAGATACACCAACTGAAATTGCAACCAGGACAAAATTTCAAACTGGTCAGTATGCTGGTCTTAACCCATTAAAAGTGGACGATCCTAGTCAATACCAGAACATAAGGTAAGCCAATGTCAAATGCAACCATTGGCTTCTCCATATTCTGTAAGAGTTGGGGTGAATTTCAATGCTTCTTGTAAATTGTGAACAAGTTACAATGCCAATTATTTCATTACTTAAATTTAAATAGATTGTAAGTTAAAAATTCTAATAAAATGAATTATAAAATATATACCACTACCAGGTACTAAAAATTAAAAAGTTTGTTTTTAATTTCAATAATTTCACGTCACCTAAATTTTTTTTTAAGACCTTCTTTAAATGTATCATTGTTGCACATCACTTTAGCTTCTTTAAGTTTAAGTTTTAAGTGGGGCTGCAACTCAAAAAATTTGCAGTAGGGAACTTGTGTAGTAATACTGTAATAATAACCCCCCACCATCATCTATCATAGATTCTATGTTACATTTCCTACTTAGTAGTAGTAGTAAAATGACAAAAACGAAAAATCCACCAGATCTAGAAGAAATATGAACAACTTCAAACATTTTTTAATACCAGCAATCATTTATTGAATGAAATTTTTTTGTTCCGTTAAATTATAAGTCTTAAAAAAATTTAATTTGAATGTACACTTTACAATATAGCACAAAAGACATTCTGTAGTTTTCAAGAATTTGTGTTTTTGTCGTCTTTTTCAGGACCTAAAAGAGAGGATCGGATACCCAGCTTTTTAAGTTCTTCAATAAGTTCTCCATTTTTATGCATGTCCAGCATAATATCACAGCCTCCTACAAAGTCCCCATTAAAAAAGATCTGAGGAATTGTTGGCCAGTTTGTGTACTTCTTTACCCCTGAAAAATTAAAGAAACAAAAATCAAATCTAAGGTGGCAGCTTATAAGTATAATACTTATAAAACTCTTTCTACACAGTATTATAAAGTTCCTTTTTTTTCTTGAAATGAAAAAAAACAACAAAAGACAATAAAATAATACCCGTGGGTTTGTACAAGATATTCAATCCAATTCCTACCCTATAGTTACTTGTAAACAAAGAAAAGCTCACTCCGACACAGAAGAGTTCTTCGTACGTACCAATGAATAAAACGATGGTTTGGTTGCACCGATTAATATACCAATAATGTGCCATTTTACTGATTAATTGGCTGTTAAAGGCACAATCATTAATTGTAATACTTGTTACCGGAATGATGACATAACATTTCTCATGAAAACCTTTCATTTATATTTTGGGTGGGGTTTGAAAAGCAAATCCAAAATCTAAATCATCTTCTTCATAAATCATTTTAATCTAAGAGATTTCAATAATTTTTTAAATTTAGCTTTTTCTTCTTATTCAGTGTCAGTACCTGGTACTGGTAGCTAAAAAGTTCATAAGTCATAAGACAAGACTCAGTTGAAAGAAATGAATTCCTCATCCAATCAGTCTAGGATTTTAGCATATAGTAGTATAGAAAGTAGGGAAGAACATCGTCAAGGAGCGATGTAAAATGGTCCACATTATAGTTACGGTTTAGCTAGCCGATTGCTATTAATCACATAATGTGAGCTCACACTCGCCGGTTTTGGAATATGTTTCCAAAATGTTCAATCCCTGCCCCCATTCCAACACATATTTGATATTCTGTACCATTGTTATGTTATGTTTTCCTTGCATAATGGTGTTTATTTTATTTTTTTTAAATAGGCCTAGGCCTATTAAGTCAATCAAGATCAAGATATGCCAATTTTGTGCACAGAAGAGCACACAAAATGTGTTTTGTTGGAATTAATTATTAATTAGTAGTGGTGGGCGGTACAAGCTCCTCCTTTGTCAATGTGAAGTCAGGGGTCCCCCAGGGATCAGTCCTGGGCCCCTGTTTGTTCCTAGCATACATTAATGACCTACCGGAGAAACTGACATCACAGGCAAGACTGTTTGCAGATGACACAGCAGTGTATAGGACGATCGCCAACAGATCTGACCAGGACCAGCTACAACAGGATCTCAATCTGTTAGCTGAGTGGGAGATGAGCTGGGACATGGAATTTCACCCTGCCAAGTGCCAGACACTATCAATCTCTAGAAGTTGTACTCCTCTACACTACCAATACAAACTGCACGGCCATATTCTTGAGCAAGTTTCCTCCGTAAAGTACCTGGGTGTTACCATTCAAAGAGAGGTCCGCTGGGACGAGCATATTAACAATGTATGTAACCAAGCAAACCAAGCCTTGGGGTTCTTAAGGCGAAATCTAAAGATTGGCAACTCCTGTGTGAAAGAAAGAGCATATAAAGCCTTTATCCGTCCGATTTTAGATTATGCATCTTCAGTCTGGGACCCATTTACCCAGAAGAGCATTGACAGGTTGGAGGCGGTCCAGCGACGAGCAGCACGCTTTGTCCTAAACCGCTACAGGAATACCTCTAGTGTTGGCAGCATGCTAGAAACACTAGGCTGGTCACCATTGGAGAAACGACGACGACAATCCAGGCTCTCCATGATGTACAAGATAAATAATGGGCTGGTCCACTGTTCCAGTATTAAACAGAAACTCGTCCCTCTCCCCCATAGACAGCGACGAGGCCATGACAGGCAATTCAGGCTCATACCAGCAAGAAGCCAGTATAGGAGCTGCTCATTCCTGCCCAAGACAATCAGGGACTGGAACCATCTTTCAAAAGGAACAGTTGAGGCGACAACACTAGACACATTTGTGTCTATTGCCTCAAGCCTTCAAACCCCTAGTGCATAATTTCCTCATCACCACCAGTAACAGAAACATTGCAAATCCCATCTACATGCATAGGAGCCAAAATGATCAATAAATTGATCGTGGGCCCTTAAGATATAGAAGAAGAAGAAGAAGAATTAACCCGGTAACAAAAACATTCATGTAATTCATCCAACAATTGACAGTTGTTTACAAATTTAAAAAAAAATATTTTCTGCTGGCTATTTACCTTCCCTGAGTTCATCATCCGACAGCACATCATATGCTGTGAATTTATCAACACCATGAAATTTCAGAATTTGACAAACTGCATTACTGAAACCACATCGGGGAGCATCAGGAGTGCCCTTCATAAAAACGACTATTGGCCTGTCTTTAACCAAATCATCAAAATTGAGTTTCGTTGTCTGCTCTGACAGCAAACGAAATAATGTAAAATTGCAAGAACTTCTTAAATGTTTCCTAAGCAGAAATCTAGTTGCAACATTCATTTTGTTAAACCCAATAAAGGTCTTCTTTTACATGAAAGCGAAAGTAGAAAGTGCTTTGACCTAATTACAATTACTTTTCAACTGAAGTGAATACGCTAGGAAATAGCGCTAAACTTATTTGCATGTCCTAAATTGATTTCGACATGATTTTTTCATTCGAATGATTTTTTTTTAAATCGGTTTTTCAAATTCAGATAATATTTAAAGATACAAAATATAAATGATGAAATATTTAATAAAAAAATATCAATCCGCCAAGAGATTCGTTTGATGAAAGAGGTTACGGAATCAGTTCACAGTTCTGTTAGACCAGGGGAAATGTTCAGTGCATTGCCATTGTGGCATTGGAAATAAATTTTCTATACTTTTGGCACCTTAAATATCCATGGGCTCTTATATTGGATGTGCCCAGGGCAACACAAGACATTTATTCACCATACATTAGGGAAACAAAACTAAAGATAAAAATTTAAACACTAATTGACACTAAATTATTACAAAAATATTATTAAACGATGCCTTAATTTTCACATGATCGTTATTTGATATAAAACGTTTTCTTTTTCAATCAATCTGACCAAATTAAAATACCGATGTCTTACCATTTATGGCCCTGATGTTGGCGCATAAGGTCTCTTTCCACCCCACCCAACTTCCTCTTAGTTGCGCATAGTAGGGAACATTGCATTAAGATTTTCGTCATATTTTTACAATTCAGGGACATTGTTAGACTAAACCGGGGTGATTTTTGAATGATCTGAGCAGTGTTGTGCGAAGGGGACATCGCTGCCTCCCAGCACACACACACCAAGTGCCCCTCTTAATTAAGCGATAAATACGTCAGTTCTCATTATAATAAAGTGTGTTTTAATATATACTTTTATGTGAATTGTGCACCGAAATTCAAGCTTTTCTCCGGACGCAGATATATATTTGTAAAAAAATATTTTAAAAGTTAACTATAGAATGATTTGTAGAAATGAGAAAGATTTGCTTGTTACTAAGATTTGTTTGAAATTAAAATAATCCTATATATCACTTCGAATTTATGATAAATAAACTGATACGTGTAAACTCATCTTTGATAGAAAGTCTTTTTTGAAACGGTCTTTAAATTTTTTTTTAAAGTGATTAATTCACCTTTGAAAAGAGAGTGCATATACATGCGGGACAAATGGCCTTAAAGACACGACAATACGGAGTCACTTTTGTGTGTAGCACTCAGGGGTACCAGACCTTGGAAAATATCCCAAGACCTTGGATGATACACGACCCCGCTTGGAATCTGGGCGCATAATTATTATTATAGAAATAAGGTGAAACCCAATGTTCCCTCTAAGGTTTGCTGCTTCATGTGCAAAATCATACAGTTGTGTACAAAGCTTTATAGCATCTATTTTTTTGTGTGCAAAATTTTACAGCCCACAAACACACATTTACATGGAAATTAGCGCGGATACTCAAAACTGCTGCGCGGCGTCTTTGAGATAGCTGCGCGCAGCTTAAAGGGAGCATTGGTGAAACCTAGGGAAATTTTAAGTTAAGTGAAAATCGATTGAAAATTCTTAAAAAGAAAACAATAAAACGGAAAATAAAGGAAAAGTGTGTTTTTGTTTGTTTTTTTTAAAACAAGGACAACAAGGACAAAATTATTTGTTTTACTATTTCCCTTTTTTGAAACATAAACACTACAATCCGTTGAGTGAAAGGGAGGGTGCAGGTTCACCAAAAATGGTAAAATAGAAGAAAAATGCTAATTTAATCAAAGTTTTAACTTGAAATGGCTAAAATATCCCGATTCAAAGCTTATCTATAACAGTAAACAGAAGACTAACAAATATCAAAAAGTGAGTTGTTTATAGTTGTATATTTTTTTCCTATTACCTTTCAATCAAGCTGATCTTGAAGTTTGTAGTAAAAATGGCATGCCCCGAAAATGCCCTGATAGTCAAATACTGAATAGCTTCAATATTATCATTTTTAAAAAAAAAAATGGCTTTGATATGTCTTGTTATTCAAGATAGGATCGCATTTAATGAAATGTTGCAATCTATTGAAATATGCACTTCTATTACACATTTTGTGGATATTTTTAAGAGTATGTGACTAGAATGGTAACGATTCATAGCCTAACTGTTTTAAATCTATTTAAATTAAATAAAACTTCAAATCAAAATTGTATAATTTATTTGATGTAATAAATCTGGTAAAATAGTCTAAATTAAAATTAGATTTCAGTCATTTATTGAAAGATGTATTTCTGATGCATTAATTCAAGCTTGTGTAGTATTAATTAGTTTTTTAAAAAACCTTTAAACTTGGGTGACCAAATCATGAACTGGAAAAAACGGGACACATCATAAGAGGCTGGGGATAACCTCAAGCTAAAGAGGGGCCCGGGGGCCTCCGCCGGAAACTGTTTATTGAAATATGCTCATTTTAACCATTTTGAGACATAGAATTATTTATATATTTAAATTCACTATTTTAATTTAATTTAAACACTGAGGCATATCATAAACGAAATCAATAATTTTGCAGTGAATACTTACTTATTTATACATATTTTACAACATAATACAACACAACAAATTAAATTTCTCTAGTTTAGGATTTAAATTGAGGATTTTCGGTCCCAGCCATTGTTAAAACCCCCTTCTTATCTGTGAAAATGTGTTTGATTTCAGAAACGGGACATTTAGGCGTCCCGAGATACTTTTTCGGGACACCGGGTACGACCGCGAAAAAAACGAATCCCGTTTTTACGGGATGTTTGGTCACCCTTCTTTAAACTCATTAAATCTTGTATTTTTAATAAAATTGAGAAATCTTGGGAAATTTGTGACAAAGTCTTGGGAATTTCGAAAAAGTAACTGGCAGCTCTAGTAGCACTAGGTCTCGGGCCTTCTCAGTTTCAAAACTACATGATAAGCAAATGACTACACGTCAAAGTGACATGTATTTCGCTTAGCTTATAGATTTTAGTTTATAGCTAATATGGCCTTTATAACAGCGGAGTTAAGACTTGATGAAATTGAAAACTGGTTTAAGATTGGTCAAGAAGCAGGTCTCAAACATGAGTCAGATAAACCAGTGGCTTCATCGTCTCTCGGTGGTCATATTTTCGATCCTAACACTGGCGGTATCTACAAACGAGACTCACAACAAGAATTGGATTCAAGGCTTCCAAAATATCTTAGGTAAACGGAATGTTTCAATTAATTAATAGTATGTTTAGTATGTTTATGCACATGCTTAAACAGAAACGAGTACGGATTTAGACTTAAGTCACATACTCTTGTTTAAAATAAAATGAGTAAAACAGAGTATGGTTAAACCTGAAAAATTAAACTCAACAAAACAGCGAACGTGTCGGCAGAAAGCCTTCGTCAGCGAACAAAACAACAGAAAAAACGTTATAAAAATAAGAAATAGCACTTAGCTGGTAAGTAGTATCTGTGGGCAGCAATAGAAGTGTGGCAGAAGGAAACTGAGTGAGAGTTTAAATAAGCAGCGGCGAAAAAAGGGGGGAGAAAAAAGTTCACTGTGATAGGTCAGAACGTGGAGGGGCGGAGCTAGGGTCAAGCTGTGAACAGAGTGCCGTAAGTCAGGATAAGTCTGTGTTCCAAATTGACCCGGCTGGCGGTGTTAGTGCTGGCCACAATCGCACTTATTGAAAAGTCCGCCTTGCCCCGGTGGTCGCTACTATTGAAGTGTTTGGAGACGGGACACTGTTTATCTTGTGTAATGTTTCGGAGGTGTTCGGTACACCTGTCCGAGAGACGGCGTCCAGTCTCCCCTATGTATGTCATCTGACAGCGGGTGCAGACAATGGCGTAGATAACGTTGCGGCTTGTACAGAGGAAACCGTCGCGTATCTGAAAACTGCCCTTGGGGAAACGTATGCGTTCAGTCTGGACGACAAAAGGCAACCATTCACAGCCACTTGCATAATGGCTGTATCGTAGTACTACCTCAGAGTTTCATTCATAAGAGTTTGCCGTGTGCAAAAACTATTAAACCATTGGTCAGGGAAAGCTTTAATTAATTATTCATGTGCCAACGTTGAAAGTTTAAACTAAGTCGACCCTGAACAGTATTTTAGTGATAGGGGATGCGCTGCCTTATATAAAGTATATAGTCATTGCGCATGACGCGATCAGGGGAATGAGGTCACAAGATGTGGAGGTTTCGTCCATAGTAAAAAATACCAAACGAACTCACACTTTAAAAGTTCATAGCTCAAAAAGTACTTAAGCTAAAAAGTTGATTCTGGTTTCATTTTTTAATTTGAAATTTGCTCTAACTGTATTATTAAAAAAAATATTTCAATTTTTTTTAAATTTGTATTCAAGTACCTAACTTGGCCTAGCCTATTTACCCTATTTTAATTTGGCTGGGGCTATTGGCAATTGACTACTGGTAGTAAACTAGCTTCTAGAGAGATATTGGTACTCCACTACCAGTAGCTAGGCAGCTATTGGATGTTAAATATAAAAAAAAACCTACCAATTGGTGATAGATTTATGTAGTATGTTAGTATAGTATCGTATTGACTATAAACTACTATAAAGTCTCAGTATTGGTTGTTACTATTTGATATTATTACTATTACTTATTACATCACTGAAATCACTCTTAAGTATGCATGTTGCAAAAAATTTTAAAAACCTGTGCTGGCAAAATTTATTTTTTGTTTCTAATCTCGTATCAAAATTTGTTTAAAGGCAGTGTTGCGCCGGACGTATACCTCCCGCACTATTAGTCCGGCGACCAAGTCACATGACAGTCTTAACAAAGTGGCGCGAGATATTTGTCCGTCAGCCTTGTCACGTGACCGCAAATGATTCAAAACTATTGTTAATTTTAAAATCTATTTCTCTACCAAGTAATGTACTGAGTATCTTGCAAACAAATAATAGAAAAAAATACTTGGGTATATTACCAAAACAAAGTGGGGGTTAAGCAATAATGCATTCTAGAAGGAAGCAATGCTGAGATGGAGAGAGAATTACGGTAATAAAAAATACAAATGCTAAAGAAATAATAGTGAGGGTGATATATAATCAAGTTTAAGGCGGGCAGGCCA